GGGTATTCTCGTTTCACATTTCGTTGCAAGAATTGAATAGCTCCCTGGTTTATCGCTGAAGAGAGAGGAATGACGTATACCGACCTCTCGCTCGATTTTGTTTCGTTGCCGTAAGGAAAATATCCTTTTCTGCATGAAAACGAGACAACTGTTTCCCGAAAAATCTAACCTGACCCAGTTCAATAATATACAGGGTGTTAACAAATAAGTGTCACAACGGAAAACTGTAGATTCCTCATAATAAAAAAAACATTTCTTTCCCCTTCAACTTTTCTTTACGGGCTCCCGATTTCAAAATTGAAAATGTTCAGTTTAATCGAACACACTTTATACAACACTTAATAAACTTAACAATTTGCAAACCAGCATCGAGACCAGCATACCCAAGAACCTGACTATTGATTGAACATATTATTAGACAGTTGTGAGGTGTTCATTTCCAGTGGATTTTTGGAGATACTATCAGAATTTTGTATGTTTTTATTCATAAAGAGCCATTTTTCGCGAAAACTGTTCACTTTAGAGCATTGAGACAGGAGGACGTTTTTTGTGTGAAAGATATTGACGCTTCAGAATCTACTTTGAAAATTACAATTTCTCTAGTGGCATACATGTTTGTGGGGTCAAACCCTTACGAGACGTTGAATTCTCCTCCACTGACATGTCCAAAGGAATTGATCAAAAGCCCTGAAGGTAGTCGTAATTGATGATGAAGTGTGAACGAAGGCTTAACTCCGTAGCTCCGACGGTTCCTGAGATAGTAGCAAAAAACATAATTTTTTGTATTTTTTTGACGTCCTGTATCTTGATAACGGAAGCTCCGTTGTGACACTTATTTGTTGATGACACCCTATAAAGATAATGAGATGAAAAATAATTATCATTACTGCATAAAAGAGGAGACTAGTTTTTCTGAGTAATAGGACCTAACTCAGCCTGAATGAACCTTCTTCCTGTGAAGTATATTTTTCGAAAATCTACTTGAGAGAATGAAAGTAATAAAAATCATTCCTAGCGAAAATTGAACCTGGGTTACTTGCAAAAGAATAATAGGCTTCTTTCTGATGCATAAACGATATTTCCCTCCCTTATAATATACAGGGTGTTTCAAAATTCAATATCAATGTGAACGAGGTGGTCTCTGATAAGCTATTATAACCTATCTTGATCACTAATTTATTAATCTGAATTATATCTGAAGTCCCAGCTAACAGCTTGTGACACATCCACGTGTAAATGCATCGCACTAGTAAAATATCTGTGCTTGCATACTCTCTAATCAAAGTCTATTACTCTACTCAGAGACACTCTTCAGTTATAATCTGAAACAATGAATTTTACGTTAACTCAACTCTCAATCTTGAATAAACCTGAAACAGGTATAGGAAGGAGGTCTATAAATCAAACTATCGGGTTACCTAACTGAATTAACTATGTTTATCATCAGATCGATGATAAATGAATGAAACTGGATGAAAATAGGATCTGGGACCTAACAAAAATGACATGAAACTGACTTGTAATTCACTGCATCCAAAGACTTTGAGAAATAGTGATAATTGAATATTAATCATAAGGAGCCATCATAATTCAGTTATCAACTCGAGAAGTTGATAACTCTTCAAATCATAATGAGAGTAACGATTTGAATTAACAGATTACTTTACCAGCGTTCCGCCTATCACGTGACACAACTGAACAGAACAAAACTAATAAACGAACCCACACAAAATTGTGCCAAACATTCCTCTTGTATGCTGAGTGTATCACATGACATGAGGAAAACGAAACCCAGCGCCAAATTGTATCTGACCAATCCCTAACAACACGCGAGTAAATCCTAGGGACTTCCCATCAGGGACGTTCCTAATTTGTTACTAGGACATCCCAGGGATATCCTCTTTCGGGACAAAGTACATACTAGGGACGTCCCAGGGACATCCACTTTCCGACAAAAACGACATCCAAGGGATGTCCTTCTGGTATGTCCCTGGGATGTACCAGGTACGGAACATCCATTCGACAAAAGCAAAAAAAAATTAGGTCGAGGAGGGATTGAACCCGGAACCTTCAGCTTATCAGGCACGCACGTTACTCCATTGGCTAATATGCCTGGAAATTCACGTACTCAACTGATCTATAAACAGTACAAAAGTGAAACCTGAATATATACAACTCTGTTAGGATTTCATGTATAATTATTATCATTCTTGAGTGTTTAAAAATGAGGAAGATGCATTTACGATTTCTGTTTGCGAAAAATGGTAATTTCTCAAGAAGTTCTGAGACTATACCCATTATTTTCATAACAATTATTTTCCGGAAGAAAAACAAACAATTTCAAACAAATTCAACTCAAAATCTCGATGAAATTCAATGACTCTGATGTGAATGGATATCAGATATTCCATGGACACGAATAGGATAACAGAGGGATGTACCGAGCAAGATGTCCACTGGACAACCACTGCGGGACATCCCCTGGATGCCCCAATAATGTCCTTGTACCGCGGGACAAAAAAGAAACGTACTTAGGACATTCGTATATTGTTTGGGATCATGTGATGTTATTCCATCATTAGGGTGATATTAAGAAATCTCTCAACTTTCCTTCAAAGAGAACCATAAATAACATTCAACATATGTTTCAGAACAAACAAGTTTCGCTTGACAATTTTATTATGCTTCGTAGAAAATATACATAGTATATTATGGTTGCCTTTGCATGGGCAAAAAGCAATCAACTCATCTCAGGCCCTTTACAGTATGTGTTTGAAGAAACAAAACTATTTCAGATGGATCGAGCTAGCCTTGTTCGTACAATCCAAGAATGATATCAGGGGTTGTTGAAAAAAAGGCATAGTGAAAAAACAACAAATATATCTCTCGATACCATGTCCTTATTCATCTTATACTAGTCGGAAAATAGTGTCTTAAATCTATAAGTATTCTGGTCGCAACATATCAAAACTTAATCTATTAAAATTCATTTCCGGTTATAATAATAATAATAATAATAATATGTATTTATTGACAGAAGTAAAATATAAGAGAATACAATTTTCAATAGAAATGTCTGCCAATAGGTAACAAGATTGGATAACTCCATTCTTACTCTTGCACCAAGAAAGAAGAAAAAGATTTATATATACATACACGATAATTTAAATCTATGATATTTCAAATACGACACACACAGGAATATATTGAATCAGGATATTTATTGTAGAAGAACACATATTGTGAATTAACAAACGATAATTAGTATAGAATTGGAACATATTTGACATGCAATTATAACTTTTTCACTTCACATACATACAATTTATTTTAGGTGAAAACTAAACATGAAATATATAATTAAAAAAACAAAAAAGGTTGAAAAGAGGAAAGAACACTCGCATGAGATGAGATAATGGTCAACTGAGGGCTATTGAAGACCCGTGCTTTATACCTTCTCGTTACAAAAGGGTTGTGAACTATTATTTCGGTTAGGCTCTCGATTTCGATGAACTGTGAGATATACTGGGGGATGTAATTTTAACCAGCTCAGGATTGATTCGATATTCTAATGAATGATAAAAACATATTTATGGTAACTTCATTACAGTTGCCCCCCCCCCCCCCTTGGAAAGCAATATTTGTTTTCAAAGGCTAAATACATTGTTGCCCCAAAATACTTTACGGTGATGAACCTTTTGTCAAGGAATTTTTCTTAATCAATTCTAAATACATAATATATATTGTGATGGCCCTACTTTGTTGTGGCTACAAACAAACTCATAATTGGCAAAAACAATAAGTACATGAGAAACAATGCACGCGATTTCATACTCGCTGATCTAGTTGTTCGCTGGGTGATATATACTCGAACAAGAAAATATTCCGATCATCCTCTCAGAATGAGAGCTGTCGGTAGCACTGCTGATCAGGATTCGGCTTCCACTAGACCAGTGATTCCCAACCGGTGGGTCGCGAACCCCTCGGGGGTCGCGATGTGCGTATGAAGGGGGTCGCCATTAGGCCCAAAAATTCCGACCAGGGCAAGTTTCAACAACATTGCAATATGTATAGGTAAATGTTTCTACATTTGGCCATAACGTTTCTCGCTTCTTATCCGCCCATTAGCCAGTCCGCAGGCGCATTGCAATATCAACTCGGGGGATCCACAGGTGTTGTTGTGGAATTTGCCATTCGGAGCTCAGACAAACTTGTAAAACATTACGCGGTATAATAAGTGGTTTTATTTATTATTGTTTTGTTTCTGAATAGTTTGGTGAGTAAGAAATTGAATTATACATACAATGAGGTGTTTTCATTTATTCAATGCAGTTTTTTTTTTCAGCGTGATCGAAGGGAGAAAAAAAAAATACTCCGAGGAGTATTTGAAGTTTGGATTCTCAACTGTTATTAATAATGCAATGCAGAAGCCGCAATGTGTTTTATGCAATGCAGTTCTCAGTGCTGAATCTATGAAACCCTCAAAGCTAAAACGTCAATTGGAAACAAAGCATCCCGAACATGTTTCAAAGGACTTGGACTTTTTCGAACGGTGTGAAAGTCGCTTAAAACATCAAAAACTCGATTTTACTGAAAATTTTCAACAACATCAAAATGTAGTCCAAGCTTCCTTTGAAATTGCTCTCGAAGTCCCTAGAAATAGAAAACCCCATACAATTGCCGAGAAGCTTATCATGCCATGTCTACTGAAATCAGTTGAGTTAATCCTTGGAGAAGCGAGTAAAATGAAAATGCGCAATATATTTTTGTCAAACAATACAATTCAAAGACGCATTTCGGATATGTCAGCAGATGTATTGGAGCAAACTTTGTCAAAAGTGAGAGCATCTCCTCTGTTTTCTTTCCAACTTGACGAGTCTACAGATGTCACTTCATGTTCCCAGTAACTTGTTTTCATAAGATATATTCACTCTGATAATATCAAAGAAGAGTTCTTGTGTTGTGAAGCCTTAAAAACCACAACGAAAAGTGATGATGTAATGGAGATGATTCGTTCGTTCTTCGAAACTAATGAGTTTAAATGGGAGACTTTGTGTGGAGTATGTACCGATGGAGCACCAGCTATGCTCGGATCAAGGTCAGGCTTTCAGAAAAAAATCAAAGAGCTTGCACCTCAAGCAACGGGATTGCACTGCATGATTTACCGGTTTGCTCTTGCTATCAAAACTCTCCCGGAGCCTCCACAAGAAGTGCTCAACTCTCTGATCAAAATCGTTAACTATATAAAATCTAGTGCTCTCAACACCCGTCCCTCCAAAGAACTCTGTAAAGACATGAACTCTGATCATGAGACTCTTCTGTTCTATACTGCTGTTCGGTCGTTGTCCAAAGGTAATGTTATTGAACGTGTGTTTGAGCTGAAGGACTAACTCAAAGCCTTCCCGAAAATGCTAGAGAAATCAGATTTTTTGAAACATCTCAATATCCCAGCTTGGATACAAAGAGTTGCTCATTTATCGGATATCTTCGGCCAGTTGAACAAGTTGAATCTGAAACTTCAGGGAAAGGACTTGCACCTCATCTATTTTTAAGATAATCTCCAAGCATTTATGTCCAAGATCGGAAACTGATGACGTAAAGTGAATCTAGAAAACTTCGCAAGGCAGGAATTGCGGAGGATCTGAAAGAGGAAATTGATTATCACCTTAAATTCCTCGAAAATGAATTTCAACGTTATTTTCCCGAGCTGTCCGACCAAGTAGCTGCAGTAGTAAGGAACCTTTTCCATGCCATGCCTGGTTAGATATTGCCAACGTTCCTGATGAATTACAAGATGAATTTTAAGATCTTGAAAATGATTCCACAGCACGTGTCCTATTTCATGAAAAAACGTTGACTGAATTTTGGTGTGCCATATTTGCTCATATCCTAATGTCGCTCTGCTTTCTTTACGGGTACTAGTACCATTTGCTTCGACTTATATCTCTGTGGAAGTGGTTTTTCAACTCTTTCGCGAATTAAAACAGAGGCGAGAAATAAACTGGATGTTCAAGATGACATGAGACTTTGACACGCACTCAACCAAGAATTTTGAAACTTGTTATGCAGATGCAATCTCAGTCATCTCATCAACATTATACCAAATAAAAAATATGAATGCTATCATATTGTTTTTTTTTATATTAAATAAAATGTCCATATCTCCAATGGGGGGTCGCGACCTTTTAAGCACATCCAAAAGGGGTCATGACTTGAAAAAGGTTGGGAACCACTGCACTAGACAATATATTCCCGCCTCCAAGATGTCTAGTTTCCTAGAGCTATTGTAGGTGATATGATCAACAACATTTATTAATTCTCAACTTACTACTCTGGAATTTTGTTCATAAAATGACGAAGTGGACGTCTAAAAATGACGTCTGAGAGACCCTATAATGACGTCAAAATGTCACAGCCATATGACGTCATATTTAGATGTCATAATGACGTCGCAGAATGACCAATAAAGGACGAAATAAAAGAAATTAGGAGGTTTATATATATATATACGGTATTATTGGTACATAATTACACCACAAACCTTTGATGACATACATTTTCTAATTATACGTTGTGGTCACTTGGTTGATGGTCCTCCCAGGCAGTCCTGTTGAATCCTTGCGCTATCACTACTACCTATGAATCTCTATATGACAATATCGTTATCAACTCGTATTTGTACCTAAAATTATGTAGCAAGCGTCGGCGAGATGTAAGCTGAATAAACTCATTTTTAGCTTAACTATCCATCTCTGAGGAATCCTCTGCAACAGGTCGATTTTATTTCCGATATGCCACATTTGATAGTAAGAACCATACAGGGTGATCCACGTTTAAGTTAAGACGTCCGCGGCAATTTTTTCAATTAGAAACAATAATAACCTATATAAGATACATTCAATTTTTGAAATATTCATGGAAATCTGAATTCAAAAATATATTACACATAAGGTTTGTATACAGTGTGTCCGTTAAATTGAGTGATCTCGCGTGAAGTAAATAAAGTAGCCAATCAATGTACTCACAACCACACAATTCCTTTCTGAGGAATCTCCAAAAATAGTTCATTTTAAATTTCCAACATTATTGAGAAAAAATTGAACATACTGGGTGATTCAAGTTTGAGTTACAACGTCCGCGACCATTTTTTCAAAGGAACACCCTATATGAATTATTCGATTTTTGGAGTCTCTATGGAAAGCTGGATTCAAAAATATATGAGTTTGTATACAGTGCGTTCGTTGAATAAAGTTTTTTTTCTGAAGTTGCGAATGAATTCGTTGAGAATTAAAAAATTTTTTTTTGAGAGATTAACGTTCGAAGCCGTAGAATTTTATTTTCAGTCAAGCTTTATCTCATATTGAATCAATATATACAGAATGATTCGTGTAGGAGACATTACGTCATCTTAATTTTTCAATGGCGATCCAATTCTACGAGAGAACAGAATTTAACGAACGCCCTCTGTATACAAACCCTTTGTGTGATAAACATTTGATTACGAAAATTCAATAATATATATCCGTTTGAGAAATGTGTCGTGTACGTCATGATACAAACGTGCATCATCCTGTATATTTGATGATTTCTCGTTATGAATTCGTCAAATTAGAAATAAAAGCCTCTCCTGTTTTCTCAGAGATATATAAGGTAGATTGATATTGGATAATAAATGAATTTCTCCACTACTTCACGAGAGCATCTAATTTATTGGACGCACTTACCTATACAATCCACATGATTGTGTTAAACATTTTCGAATTCCGCTTCCCATGGTTATTCCAATGATTGAGTGATATATATAGGGTGCTCTATTCAAAAAAATTGTCGTGATGGTCATAACTCAAACGTGGATCACCATGTATCATATTCTATTTTTCTCATAAATATGGCAGATTGAAAATGAAAATCGACCGTTTTCAGCAAATTCCTCAAAAATGCATAATTTGGCTAAGAATGAATTTGTTCATCAGTACTTACGAAAACACTGTACAGGGTGTCCCACTAAGGTCGGCGAGGTACGATATTATGGAAACCATTAACCTCACAGCTACGGAAAGAAGTATATTGACAAAATCGGCGATAACAAATTGATTCAAAATATTTTCAAGTTTCTGAAATGACCGCTAGGGGGCGAAATCACTATGATACAATGAGAAATTCGAATTATCTCAGAAAATCACTGTGTAAGGTGATTTTTGATAACGGAAATGATAAGATTATCAATTTTTCGTTTTGTTGTTCTCCAGACATTTTTTCGTATCTTTAATAATAATGGTGGGGGAAGCTTGTGAACAAAATATTTTTCAAATTGCTGTATCTTCCATACCCCTTATCCAAATTCAATCAACTTGGGCTCGTATTGAAGATAATTTCAGGCCTATTCAAAATCCGACTTCGTTTACGGTCGCTAGTTCATACCGCGTCTCATAGAAGGCGCCGTTTACCGACTATTCGATTTTTCTGGATTTTCACGATAAATATGATACATTTGCATCAGTGGTCTCGGAGAGCATGGAAATGCCTACATTCTGGCGTAAACCGCGATTCGATAGATTCATCTGTCTTCGAGTTATTGTTTCCATAATATCGTACCTCGCCGACCTTAGTATGACACCCTGTATATACAAACACAAATTTAGTACGTACAATTAACAAACGATGAAAAGTTAAGAAAGCGACTGATTTTTCTTATTTGGTCGAATATACGACTTCATAGGGACGTCATTAACGTCAATGAGACATCATGAAATATGACGTCATTCTTTGGTCCCTTTGAAGTCGAGGACATCATTGACCATTGACCTAAAAAATACGTCATTATGACGTCATTTCACTAACCTGTGCTACCTGGGAGGTGATATGACCATATATCACACGTCTGTTCTCCATGTTCGAATTGTTTGGTATGAGTTTGTCGTCTCACTCATCGTGGTAGTGAGTACCTACTGGCTTCGGTGAACTCAACATTTTCATGAGGCAACTAATACTAGAGGTTGATTATCAGTATACTAGTAGCTCTAGTTGGTGGTAAGTTCTGCATATATCATCCTTGACTGTTTGCCGAGTCGAACAGTCTTTATGTCGTGAGTTTTCGGTGTATGGTACTTATGGTTGGTTGCCGGGGTCACCTCTCCATGAAAACATCTTATATCACCGTCACTTCACAGATGATCCTTTCTCACTCTGACTTGGAAGTGTTTGTTGTTGCATGGACCAATTATTAGTGCATCTCGTTGGTATCAACGTACGAGATAAACTTGGTAGTGTATACTGAATGGGGTGTGCCCAAGGGTGGCTGCTACAGTCATGATTGCTCTCGTGAATGCCTTTTTTTGAGACTAGTACCGAACCATCAAACAACAATAGTCTCTGACTGTCGACGTGTGTAGAGAGTTGCAGAAATCTGGCTAGTTACAGTGCTCCAGGAACTAGGTGACTGTTTTGCTCATCCACTTCTCCTGATGATCCACTGTCGAGAGTAATAGTGCCGTGTCGTTCCAAAATCTCCAGTGTCTCCAGTGTCTCCAGTGTCTCCAGATCTCTTAGTGATTCGGATATATGTGACGAAAGAAAAAAAACCTGATCAGTTCTTATTTTAACAGTTTGTAAGGTATTGTAATAGTTGACTAACAGGACATTCTTCAACTAATCTAAGTACAATTTCCATTTATTGAATTTTTTTTCCTAAGAATATGCCCAACTTCATTAATTTATAGTCGACAATAGTCTATTAACATTGGTAGTAGTATAGTTACCCCGTATTAGCCATAAAATCTGTTTTTTTTGTCTCATCAATACTTCACTAACCTCATCTCCCTCTCATGTAGCCTAAATCAGATGTCTACATATTTTTACTTCATTCCTCGAGTTCTTTCTTTACAAAAATTGCCAAATGTTTTTATACTCAGTGACCCCTTACAGTAACTTTTTCCTTATGTCCCACAACAAATTATTATCATTAATATACAAAATCTATTTTCTCTTTTGTTTCTTCCTATTCAACTATTCAACTCAGTATTTATCACATTTTCGATATCAATAACTTTGTAGAAGCGCTTCCATACCTAGAATGCACTAAGTGATTTATTTGATATTAAGCCTGAATATCAACTTAAATAACCTAGCAAAAATTGGCTGTTATTATCGATTAATATAACTTTGTTCTCAATGTGAACTATTTTATCCTGCGTACTTCATCATTAAAAATCACTCTCATAATCTTTCTACTACATGGCCTTTTTATCTTGTACTATTATTCGCTTTCATACTTGTCTTTATCTCCATCATCTATCACGCTATGCAAGGAACATCTAATACTTTGTCCCGGAGGTATATCCAGAGATCCCGTACCAACCTCCAAGGTATAACTTCTTTTACAGTAGCTATT